CCCGTTGTCGGCGTAACACTGATTTTTCTCACTATAACTTTTGTAACTTACCTGTAAATATTTTCAACCTTTAAACGCTATCGGACAATTTTGATCCATTCCTGTATTGTCATAGTATGGGGCAACATAAAAAACATAACAAACATATTCATACAGATTTCATTTGTAAGTCATTACCCCATGAAGTTGATAATGGTATAGAGGGAAAACAGAGTCTTACGCCGGTTGACCCCAGATTTTTAAATTTGAAAGTCGTCTATTTATTTCTTTTTTTTCTTTTGCATCATATGGAGAGAGTTATGATTAATCATATGTTTGAATCGTATGTCTAATGTTGAATATAATATTGTAAACATTGCGAACGGAACGCTAATTAACTCTACATGTTTGCTGATGTACATGCGATCCATCACTGTGGTGTCCTAGAATAAAACTTATATCAGTAACAAAACAGATGATGTTATTAAGACTTCAGTCAGTATATTCTGTTCGAATGACACAACCAAGTTAGATTTAATAGACGCTTTCAGTTTTCAAATTTTTAAGCAAGTAACTCCTTTTTTTCTTTTGAATATACATGTGCATTTTTTTTTAAAAAAAAATTAAGACTTCATTTTATTTTTCTAACACTTGATTTTTTTTTCAAATTGAATTTTTGCAGTAAAATAAGTTAATATTTTTTTCGAAAGTCTGACTCGAAATAAATAGACTGTGTGAGAAATGATAAAAATTATTGCATTTGTGTTTATTTTATAGCTTGAATTTTGGTTCCAAGGCTGATACAGGTGACCAAATGATATTAAGGTAAATTTTGACTGAGTCTTTAAGATATATATTAGTAAATTTGCTTTTATTTAACAAATTTTTGGATACTTTCTAGGAAGAATGATAAAATTATTCAATATAGCATTTTTTTAGATACAGGTCATTTGTATATATTTCTTAAACTGAAGGCAAAGATATAAGATGTAAACATGCATTTCACATTTTCTGAAAGAATCAAAATAGAATTGTTAATATGTAGCAGTGATTATTGCCCTGACTATTATTACCGAATTATTAGTCTACTACATGTACATGTATTAGCAACAACTTTTTTTGTAATTGTCAGTATGAAATCATGCTTAACTATTAATTTTTGTGAATAATGAAACCCTCTACGTAGATACAGCGAAACCTGTCTAATCCGACATGCCCTGGGAAACAAATTTTTTGTCAGAATAAACAGGGTGTCGGATTATCATGATTATACGGTACATAAGGGAATCATTAAAATGGGATCTGAATACAGGTTAAAATTCATAGTGAAACAAATTACAACTGTGTTGATTATACAGTTTTTATTGTGCTTAAAATATAAACTACAGTGTATATCATCTTTTTACCATTAAGAGGTTTGGCTTCCTTTGTATTTTGTACACTTCCATGTTTTGTACAATATTATTTGACTTTCTTTGTAATTTGTACATGACCTCATTTTGTACATTACAGCATACACATGGCAGTAGGTAATGTGTCAGGCTACTGGAGTGTAGTAGAGGCCAATCTGACTGTGAAGGGCCAAACCAATGACTTCTCCTTAGACAGTGTGTCTGCTCCAAAGGGATTCTCCTATCACTGCTCCAGCTTAGGAAAATCGGGCAACAGCACGGGGGCCAACATCACGGTTTCCTTTGATGGATTCCAGGTAAGGTAGCAGGATGTTTAGGGCGGGTTTTGACAGGGGACTATATTTTAGTCATTTAAGTATGTTATTATCTTCTTTCAGTACAAAGAAGGTATTTTGAAGGAAATTTAAGAGGTAGAAATTACTTAAACCACATAGTGTGAAAAGTTTCAGTTTTTAATCTTTTAAACAAATTCACATATGCGGAGTTAAAGCTTCCTTTTAGAAAAAAATCACTCATTAAAATCAGTCTTCCTTGGTTTGTATTCCAAATACTTTTTGAGTAAGTGTAAAAAAAAAATGAAGATGTTTACCCTTAAAAAGTGACCTCAAATGTACAAAGTTCATATGTAACGTCATGCGAATCGATCCATTTTTGATGCAAGCCATTGTGACAGAGATGGATTGATGCACGCAAACTCAGTTTGAATGATATAAAGTTAATTTTCTGTCCAATCAAATGGCACATTCATACATGTGATATGTACAGGCGGTACGCAAAATGTACAGTTTTTTTAGAGCCCATTCATCGTGTACCGGCGGGACACCAAAATTCACAGAATATGAAAATTTGTAAAGTATTTTGAATTTCTCGCTAAATGCCGCCATTTTCCTCTCATTCTCGCTCGCGAGACACTGGAAACGTCACCTGTGTTTGACACTTGACCTTCTGATAATTGTGTAGTGTACACAAACCATCGCGTGTGAAGGTGTGAACTGCCAATTAGGATAATTATCTTCCTATAAATCCGTATCAAGATACCCCTTTAGGTAGCTTTATTTTTAAAGGGGTACTTAATTATAACTGTTAATGTTTCGTAACTTGATTGAAAAAAAAAATAAGCCAACTTCTATAGTTGATATACATGAATCTGCTGTTGTGTTCCAGACAACAGTTCTTATTTTTATCATGTGACAATTGTCTTTTACATTGCTGCACAGGTTTTGTTCCAGTCTCCTTTTTCTTCTCTCTTCAGTCAATATTACATTATTTTAATGTTTTCAGCTTTTGACATTGTCTGTTGGCTTCTTTTATATTACATGTACATTATTATGTTCACAGCTTTTGACATTGTGAGTTACCAGTTGTCTGGTGGCTTCTTTTATATTACATGTACATTATTATGTTTACAGCTTTTGACATTGTGAGTTACCAGTTCTCTGCTGTCTTCTTTTATATTACATGTACTTTATTATAATGTTTACAGTTGCAGCCATTTGATGTTGTGAATTACCATGCAGCTCTCGGCTGTCTTATATTACATGTACATTATTATAATGTTTACAGCTGCAGCCATTTGACGTTGTGAATTACCAGTTCTCGGATGGCTGGGACTGCATCCCCTTCTTCACCGAGGTGATCTGGATGGGAATTTTGTTTCCATGGCATGGTCCTCCTCATTCTCCTCCATGGTTTTACCATGTTGACCTCGGTCACCACCCAGGATAGATTTGATGACCCCAAGGGCAAAACTATCACTGTCAATGTCAATGAATAGAGAACTAATTCACATTTGTTTTTATATTTTTGTTACTTAACATTCCTTAAAAGTTAGATTAAGCTTTATGAATATGTCTCTGAAGAAGGTTTTATCTGACTTTTTATAAATCAAAAATGACAGTAAAATTTTTGTTTATTGCTTATTACATGAAACTGTGTAAAGAATTTGCTAAATTATTATTATAGGGTAATTTTTTTTAAAGTAATTTGTCAAATTGATTTGCTTATGAAATCTGTGATGTGATTTATTTCTTATTAAAATTTTCTGAAGATAGAAATGCTTTATTGATTATCAAAACTCACTGATGGTCATATAAATTATTCATTAGGCATGAAAAAATTGATTTCTACAAAACCTTTTTTTTTCACATTTTGATGGGAGGTGGGGGATTGGACATATTAAGAGATCAAAGTTTTACAAGGAAGATATTGGATAAAATGAAGATTGTAAGATTATATAGAGAGAAATGTTCTTTTTAAGAGCATTGGGACCATTATTACATAAAATTTTTAATATGGATATAATGCAAGTGCCAAGTTTGTTTAAATCAAGGCCTATCAGGGTAGGGTGGGGGCCACAGCAGGTTTTCAAAGTGGGGATGTTTTTTGGGAAAAATACTGAGCCCGTTCATTTTCCATCAAATGTCTCAAAGTCACTTTTTAGTAGCAATTTTCAGAGCTCTCTGGTAGATGGTAAAAAAATGATGGCTAGAAAAGGAGAGCTTGAAACTGTCTTTAAAAACAAGACGCATATATTTCAAAATATATTTTAAGAAAACCGAAATCCTCCTTACCAACCGTATTTTTCTAATCGGATATTGATTTGCTAGAATCTAAAGGTAGTGCAGATACAAGTTTCTTTAAATCATGGCCAATGATGCCATAATATTGAAATACTTGTACATGTGAATATAGAAAATATACAAGTATTGAGGGATGATTTTTCTTATGAACAAGGCCAAGATTAGTCATAAATTAGTAGGCAAGCACCCAGATAGAGAAAATAATTCAAATTATGTATTCCATTACCTTATCTTTGCCTAATATAATGTTTAGAACATTTTAATCTATTTCAAATTGCATTTTGCTATTCACTTTCTATTTCCATTTATTTCATCTAATTATATCAAAGGTCAGATCATGCTAACTGCATAGAACTACCAAAATTAGAACTCTTTAGTGAGCAGTGTTTAGAGCTTCTTTAACTTTCATTTTGTTCATTTTTCAGAAAATAAGTCAAGATTTTTCGGACCATGTTTTTGCTGAGGCTAGCATGGGTGCTGCTTCTAGCGGTGTGTTTCTTGTGACTTTCTCACCTACTCTGTATATACCTACATGTATCATAAAAACGACCAAATATAACTGTTTAAAATCTAATTATTAGTATAAAAAAATTAAAAACTTGACATGCAATTCTCTTGATTACAACGTTATAGTATTTAAATTCTAGTTTATTTGTTATCTGTGATATTTTCCAAGGAAATATCTAACCATGGGGACTAATCCATAATTTTGCTCACATACCAAACTGTATGTATGATGAGTTCAGTCTCTCTCATTATCACATTTAAAACTTAGACCTGTGTACACTTTTTACAAAGTAGTGACTGATGATTGAACTGTAGATGAAATGTAAAAGAGTTCTAGGTATCAAATTTTCCAAATTTTAATTCATACCTCTCGGGTCAAGATAATTTTTTATGCTGTAAGCCTCGATCAATATTGATATTTTTCTGGGGAATAACACACCATATTCACTACTGAAAGAGTCCATAATTGTATAATATTTGGTTTTTACTTGTGGATAAAATTTAATATTTTCCTATTTTAGAGATGGACATTGTTCATGAGCGATCTGGAAATCACAGCGAGGAACTCCAGTCTGCTCCTCAAAACATCAATACACCAGTTCTTCATACATCAACTGAGAACGGAGATTTCGAGAGGACTAAGCTACTTTTGGAAAAATCCCCAAGTAAAGTAAATGATATTGATGATCGTGGGTGGTGTTCTTTACATATTGCGGCAGAGAAAGGAGATCTTCGCATTTTCCAGCTTCTCGTGGATAAAGGAGCTAATCCCTCATGTAGCACTAATGCTATTTTAACTACACTGCATATTGCCTGTTTGAATGCTAAATATGACATGTGTCACTATATACTGTTAAATTTCCCTTTTTTAATAAAAAATGTGGATAATCGATTATGGAATGCTGCACATTTTGCTGCTCAAGGAGGAGATATTCGTATTTTACAGCTTCTTGCTGAAAAAGGGCTCGCCATTAAAGAAAGCACTAAGAATAAATGCACCATTCTTCATATTGCATGTAGAAAAGCAAATTATGAGATGTCCCAATATATACTGTCAAAGCATCCTGAATTGCTAGATAATCTCAACGAATTTGGATGGAGGGCTGCACATTATGCTGCAAAAGGAGGAAATATTCGCATTTTACAACTTCTGAAAGACAAAGGTGTCTCTCTCAAATTAACCACAGAGAACAAAGAAACTTTACTACATATTGCATGTCTGTACGCTAGATACGAGATATGTCAATTTCTACTGTCAGTATGCCCAGACAATCTACAAGACGTGGATGAACAAGGATGGAATGCTACACATTTTGCTGCACAAGGAGGGGATATTCGTATTTTACAACTTCTAACTGACAACACGCTATCTCTCAAAGAAACAACTCACGAAAAATGTTCTATACTCCACATTGCATGTAGCAATGCCAGATACGATATGTGCAAGCACATACTAAATGTACTTCCTGAAATCCTACATGATGTCAATGAATGGGGGTGGAATGCTGCACACTATGCTGCACAGGGAGGAGATGTTCGTATTTTACAGCTTCTTGCTGAAAAGGGGTCTCCATTAAGGGGACCACAGAAGATAAATGTACTATTCTTCATATTTCGAGTAGTAATGGAAATTACGAGATGTCCTAATACATACTGTCAAACTATCCTGAAATGATAGATAGGGTCAACGAATTTGGTTGGAGGACTCCACATTATGCTGCAAGAGGAGGAAACTGTAATATTTTACAGCTTCTGATAGACAAAGGAGTCTCTCTAAGTGTAACCACACACAGCAAAGAGACATAACTACATATTGCTTGTTTGTATGCTAGATACGAGATATGTAAGTATCTACTGTCAGTATTCCAGGACAATCTACAAGACGTGGATGAGCGAGGGTGGAATGCTGCACATTTTGCTGCACAAGGAGGAGATGTTCGCATTTTACAACTTCTTGCAGACAGAAATCTATCTCTTAAAGAAACAACATATGACAAGTGTACTATACTTCATATTCCATGTAGTAATGCCAAATACGATATGTGCAAACACATACTGCAAATGCTTCCTGAAATCTTTCATAATGTCAACGAATGTGGATGGAATGCTGCACATTATGCTGCAGACGGAGGAAACACGCAAATATTAAACTTACTCTCTCAAAATGGACTCAAAATCTGAGAACACGATTTTGTGTGTGTGTATGTGCGTGTGAGGGTGTGTGTGTGTGAGAGAGATGGTGTGTCCAGAAACATTTTATTATGTGCTCACCTGTCTTTCATAAAAAATTCTTAAATACATGTAAGTCAACGAGTATTACAAAGTATTTGTCATGCAACAGGCTGGCTATAAATTTAAAAAAAAAAATAGGTTCATCAAATTAATTATCTTGTTATGAACATAAGTTTTCCTTAAATGTTTCTCCAGGAAAAAAAAATAGATTGCTGCCAGCTTTTGCTGAAGAATGATCTGGAAGAAAAATCAGAAACTGACATACTGTATCATGATACGCAATTCCGGGCAACTATAGTACGTTTTTCAATGTGTTTAATTTTAATAATGTGCACGTTAAAATTTGCTTTGATTTTTAAAAAAACATTGCGATCGACTGCTGGAAAAAAGTCGATTCCATCCGATGAACTCGACAATCCATTTATCGCTGTAATAGCGCAAAGGGCGTCATTCTTTGTAACTATTATATACTTTTTTCTATCACAAATGTACTGCCAATGCATTTTAGAGAGAGCTTTTATTCATTTACTTCAAAAAGTGTCCTTGAGATGGAGAATCAATATACTAAATGAAGGGCTACAGTCTTTTGTTAATAGGAGATAGCAGAAAAAGACAAAAAAAAAGGTATTCTGCATATCTGCTTCTCAAAAACCACTTTGATATTCATGAATTCTCATATTCAAAACATCCCCCCCTCCCCCAAAGGATGGGCCATAATAGCGAATCTTAAATAGTCATCGACTTTGACCTCGGTGTTTGACTTGTATTTGAGAAACTTTAAATGTCCTCATAAGCTAGCTGCCATACATTCACAAACGCATCTTTTTTTGTTTGTTTTTTTGTTTTGTTTTTTTTTGTTTTGCTATTATACATTGTAATTCGTGGTTATGCTAGTAGCAAATAAACATCTGGCTACCCTTTGATTATTATCTTTAATGATGCTATGAAGCAGGCAACACATGTGTTTCTTGGAACATTCTTGCTGTAGTTATTCACCATCTGTATATGACAAATGCAAAGCTTTGATTTGTATAAAATCATGAACACCCTGGGAGCTGGGATAGAGGACATGGGAAGGAGTTATCTCTGCATGGTCTACTATGTTGAAAACTCCTAAAAGTTGTGAATATTTACTCCCATTTCCCACTTGTCATCATTACTTACTCCTTCTCACAACATACAGGGACTTTTCACATATTCCCCAGCCCTCCCTTGAATCAGGATGGTGACAAATCATTTAAAATGGTTAAGAGTTTAACAGATACTAAGTATTGCACATTATCTATTGATTAAGCTCTATAGTTGAATTTGGCCTAACTATACTGCTACTGCTTGATTTTGCTATTCAAAAAAACCATGATTTAATTGTTGTCCCCTGCTTTCACTGATTGGTCTGTCTGTCTGTCCGCCCGTCCGTCTCTTTCTATCTGTCTGTGACACTTTCGTTTCTGCGCGATATCTCGAGAAACCTTAAGTTTGAGCTTTTGCTGTGAAATTTTACATAATGTTCGTTAACTCCCTGTGGTCTAAGGAAGACCCCTAGTGATTTTGAGGTCAAGGTCATAAATTCCTACATTCTGTTTGTTTGTATAACTTTCATTTCCAAGCGATATCTCAAGAAGCTTTGATCTTTTGCAATGAAATTTTATACCATAACTCCCTCTGGCCCCGCCCACCCCTCTAAAAGTGTTCCGTCCCCCAACCCACCTCCCACCTCTAGATCCGCTCATACTCTTCTTTTTCCTTAAGTGGGGGACAGAGATTCTCTGAATAAGTTTGTTTAAAAAAAATGTGCAGTCCCTAACAAAAAAATACTATAGTAAACTATAGTTAACTATAGTTTACTATAGTTAACTATAGTACCAAAGTAAAAACTTTGGAACTTTGATTTACTACAGTAAAAACTTTGGAACTTTGATTTACTACAGTAAAAACTTTGGAACTTTGATTTACTATAGTGAAAACTTTGGAACTTTGATTAACTATAGTAAAAACTTTGGAACTTTGATTTACTATAGTGAAAACTTTGGAACTTTGATTTACTATAGTAAAAACTTTGTTTAAGTACGATAAATCCCGTGGAATTATGTTTTTGATTCCCATTCTTAACATTTTATGATATTTCAAGTTTAAGATTCATAAAAGCTTTAGAGAACATTTTAAAAACCCGACCCCTCCCCTAAAAGAATAATGTACAAGATATGAATTTTAATGTAAAGGTTGTCGCTTGCGCCGATAAAAAACAATATTTATTTCAATGTATTTGATTTTAATGTTATGCAGAGGTAACGTAAGTATTTTTTTTTTTTGGAAAAAAAAAATAATATATTATAAAAAAAAATTGTCATTTAGAATCAAAATATCTGCTTCATCAACTTCAGTCAACGTGTATCTTTTATTTTTTATTTATAAATGTAAATATTGCATTTGAATTCACTACTTCGTATATTTAAATAAAGATGTACAACAAAAACCAGCCCCAACAGCCCCATATCCACCCCTCCTCTAAAACGGCTAAATAATCAAAAAAAATTATAAAAATACAAAAGTTGTTAAACTAATGAAAAAACTTTGAAACTTTGATTAAGTTTAGGGAAAACTTTGAAACTTTAATTAACTATAGCAAAAACTTTGGAACTTTGATTTACTATAGTGAAAACTATGGAACTTTGATTTACTATAGTGAAAACTTTGGAACTTTGATTTACTATAGTGAAAACTTTGGAACTTCGATTTACTATAGTAAAAACTTTGGAACTTTGATTTACTATAGTGAAAACTTTGGAACTTTGATTTACTATAGTAAAAACTTTGGAACTTTTGGAACTTTGATTTACTATAGTGAAAACTTTGGAACTTTGATTTACTATAGTTAACTATAGTAAACTATAGTTAACTGTAGTTTACTATAGTATTTTTTGCTAGGGGTTTTTCAACGTAGATAAAAGTCACACTACGGTGATATGATAATTTTCAGCTTCGAACAATAATCATAAAAGCAATGCGTGAAAAATTGCTTTTTAGTTTATTGTGCCTCCTTCAGAGCATTTGGGATCATAGTTTCTCTCTGACATCTTCTAAAGCCAAAAATTAAACACAATTACGAGAAATGTTTTTAGAGTAATTGAGTTTTAGAATTTTACAATTAATGTGTAATTAGGGCCTCGAAGTGCGTGTGCCTTATTATGGTCTGTGAATCCATCCGGCCTTTGTCCGTTTGTCTATCAAAGTTTTTTTAGATTAAATATCGAGATCGAAAAGCCTCTCTGCAAAATCCTTGCTCTGAGCTTTTTTCTCTGCCCTAGGTCTATTTGGGTTCACATTTCACCAACAGAGTGCACATGAGTAGAGGATGTAGAGTGACCTTGAAACAATTTCCTAAATGAAAGGTCAAAGACAGAAAATCTCTTTACTTATAAAATCCTTGTCTGGTATATATTTTCATCACCAATCATCTTCCCAAAGATGATTTGGCTATGCAGCGAATAATGATAGAGGGGTCTGGTAACCAAAGAACAAGGATTTTTTTGTACAAAAATTGTCAATTTTTTTTTTACCTTTATTCGATCACCAGGATAAAAATGGACATTCTGAAACCTTATTGAACATCCTCAGAACACCATCGAATTATACCAGCTAGGAGATCAGGGTACTGGGTCTCTGTAGAAAAAGTTTTTATTTGTCTGTCTGATTTAAGAGTAGTCTCTTTTAAACAATTTTATCCACATATCTTCATAAATAAGTACATGCATATGAGTATATCTTTCTCTTCAAGTCAAGCAAATTTAGTAAATATTCTGCTCTTAAAAACCGTGAAATCTTTATATCCAATTCCAGATGATTCTGTGTAATTTAGAATTGGATTTGGATTGGATTATTGTAGAATTATTTAATGTATACATATATATTGGAGCAAACAAAAAATGCCAATATGGATATAAAGATTTGATTGCTAATTCTTTAATATGTGTATAGAAGATTCTTTTTATATAGAATATTGATGATATTTCATGAGTTTGTACAAGCCAGACGTTGTGACTTTTTCATTTCACATGCTGAATACTATCATTTAGTAAATCGAAACAAAAATCTAAAAAAAAAAAAAAAAAGGATCGTCCGGTATTTGAACGTGGAACCTCTCACATGCTAAGCGAGAGTCATACCCCTAGACCACGGAGGCACTTAATTATATAGCAAATTAAATGCAAACATTAGGTCACATATAATGTTTATAATCACGTTCGATATTGTCAAAATTTTACACAATATATGGTGTCTAATTTAGCCTTTACTAAACAGTTCTAATAGATGTAATAAGAATATAAAGTCCGCCGACAACCTGTATTATACGTAATAACTCTCCACATGCCCCTGTGTTAAAATAGTGCCAAGCGACTTTTAATACAATAAATAATAAAAAACAAAACGGGACAGGACACTTTG